TTTCGTCTTTATAGCCGTAAAACATGTTATCCCTGACCAACAAAATCAACATAGAACCTTGCACACAAATGTATAGGCTCAAGCTGTCACACTTCACAGTAGTACAAAAAGAACAGGTGGTTAGAAAAGGAGTGATATCAAGGTAGACGAAGTAGTGCAAGCGAAAAAGCAATCTGAAGATAATAGTTAGCATGAATACATCTGCGCCATTGTGACCGATTTTCATGCATGTCATCTAGAGTCCCCAACCACTGATTCCTTTCGTCTTGAGGACTCTAACCAGGCAGTCTACATCGCCTCACACAACTCAGACTAACAGTAAGAGACCTCATTGACTGGTGCAACGTTTTGGTCTGGCCACCCTGCACCCTCTTCGAATCTAATCCAACTTCCCCTAGAATGGCACCTCGAGGTAGGTGGTGGCTAGGCATGCGCAAAACATGTCTAAATCATTTCAGTCGATGAAGGTTTACAACCTCATCAATCGACTTGATTGTCTTGGTTAGTACCCTTTACCTGACCTCAATATTGCTCCCCGACCGATAGCTGCTACCTTGACGTGGTGGTCGGGCTTGCATATCACAATGACCCAACGAGCTATGCTGGTGGAACGCTTGTTCCCTCGAGGTCCTACCATACCAGAAAGGTCTGTTGGGTAGTGGTTAGACGAAAAGCAGTTACCGTTATAGTGTAAATTGCTACACTATGATGGGGGTCTGAGGGCGAAGTCGTACTGGTGACAGCAGTAAGGTGTTTCCCTTGGATGACCAGCAGTGCCAAGCTGATGCTGCCTTCTCAGTGGAAGGGGGGGTTAGAAAAGGTCGGCCCCAAAAATAACACACTCCACCACGCCCCACGGTCTGCCGGGCCGGCGGTGTTGGTTCACTTGTCGTTTCCTTTCGCCCATCCGGCCCCAAAAATACAAAAATTCAAAATAATCATACTCAAAAGGCTGGGTGTGACAGGCCTCAAGCAGATGTCCGATGGGCTCTGCGGTCACACAAATCTCTTTCAGGTACCTTAAGAAGAAATAGCCTTCCACGGTGTGGGCAGCCGGGAAGTGTCAACCGCCCTCACAACTCTGTCAGCACCCAAGTTTCTTCTGACTGCTATCCTCCTCCTCCATCATTACCTTCTAATCTTCCTTCACGTCTCTTAATTAATGATGCTGCATCATCTTCAATTTCTCCTACCTCTGCAGCCTTCGACAACGATCTGAGTCCACAGAACAGCATCCCTGGTCTCCTTAAACCACGCTCCAAATTACATATTGGAGCCTTCAATGTCCGCACCCTCCGTCAAATTGGCCAACAGGCTTCGTTGGCAAAGACTCTAGCAACTCGGGCATGGATGTGTGCTGTGTTTGTGAGACACGCATACAGGACCCAAGTGTGGTTATTCACCTGACCTCTCCTGACCAATCTGGTGAATCTGCAAAATTCACCCTTCGAGTTTCTGGAGATTCGATAGCTAGCTCTCGTGGTCTTGCAGGTGTAGGTATAGCATTAAGCACCAGGGCAGAAAACTCACTACTAGACTGGATCCCAGTTGATAGTCGCCTCTGCGCTATGAGGCTGAACGGCACAGTGAGAACTAAAAGGAATAGTGAGACTCGCCGTTGTCTCTTTGTAATCTCTGCTTACGCACCCACTGACTGTAGTTCGGATGAAGTGAAGGACGAGTTCTACCATAAACTGTCTAACCTCCTCTCGAAAGCCAAACGTTCGGACGTAGTGGTTGTTGCAGGTGACCTCAACGCACAGGTGGGTAGACTGAGTGAGGCAGAAAGGCACTTAGGTGGCACTTTCGGAATCCCAGCTGAACGTACAGATAACGGTGATCGCCTATTACAACTATGCTCAGATAACCGCCTATTTTTAGCCAGCACAAATTTCAGACATAAAGAAAGGCACTGTCTGACCTGGCGTCCACCGAGCTCGACTCAGCGATGGACACAGATAGACCACATTGCTATTAGTCATCGCTGGAGAGGATCGGTGGAAGACTGCCGCTCCTTCTGGAGTACGTGTTTGGACAGCGATCATGCGTTGGTCCGAGCACGTATATGCCTGCGTCTCAATGGACGTAGAAAAAATTTGGCAACAAAACCACTACGAGTTCTGCTGGACAACGAAAACACCAAAGCCGTGTTCAGTGAGAAGTTGGCTAGGCAGTTATCGGAACAAAAGACTGTCACTCATCCAGAAGAAGCTTGGTGCCATCTTCAGTCTACTGTAAAAGCAGCACTGGAGACTGTAGCCGACTCCAAGATAATGGCTAAAAAGAGCCAGTGGATATCAGCAGCTTCTTCCAAACTAATGGATGCACGTGAATGCATCCCTGCAGGCTCTGAGTACAATGAAGAGCGAGCGCAACTTAAAAATAAACTGACGAAAAGTCTGCGCAACGATCGTGAACAGTGGTGGGCAGCAAAGGCTAAAGAGATGGAAAAGGCAGCGGCGATCGGTAACAGTAGACAGTTATTTAGACTTATTAAGGAGACTGGGGGGAAATGGTCAACAACAGTTAGTGAGGTTATAGCGGAGAAGGACGGATCGGCGATTCACTCGCAGGGAAGGCGACTGGGACGATGGGCAGAACACTTTGAGGAACAGTTTAACTGGCCTCCAGCCACCATTGCGCTGCCCGCTATCCAGTCGGACCCTGAATGGGACATAGAGACAGGTCCCCCAACACTAGAAGAAGTTGAGAAAGCGGTAGGTAGCCTGAAACGGGGAAGGGCAGCAGGACCAGACGGACTACCTGCTGAGGTATACAAGAATGGTGGTAGAGTTCTCTTAGTCAGGCTAACGGAAGTGTTAGCCAGTATATGGGAATCAAATACGATCCCCTCCGACTGGTCTAAGTCACTGATCATCCCAGTCTTCAAGAAAGGCGAGAAGTCCTCTTGTGATAACCACAGAGGAATCAGCCTGACAAACATAGTGTCTAAGATCCTAAGTTCTATAATTCTCCGACGCCTGAGTGGAGCTCGGGAACAGCAAGCCCGAGAAAACCAGGCAGGCTTTAGACCTGGCCGTGGATGTATCGACCAAATATTCACACTGCGCCAGGTCCTGGAACATAGGCATGCTTACAGACGCCCGACAATAGCTGTATTTCTCGACCTGAAGGCGGCATTTGACTCCGTTGATCGAGAAGTCTTATGGCAGTGTCTGTCACTGAAAGGCGTGCCTAGTAAGTACATCACCTTATTGAAAGCTCTCTACTCGAACACTTGTGGGCATGTTAGAGCCTATGGTGAGTTGTCCAGGGAGCTATACTCATCAAGTGGTGTCCGTCAAGGATGCCCACTATCCCCATTCTTATTTAATTTTATCATAGATATTCTTATGGAGGTTTCCCTCTCGTCACCTAATTACAAAGACGTTGACCGGATCACAGGTGAATTTTCCTTAGATCTAGAATATGCAGATGACATAGTCCTGTTAGGTGAAGACGCTGACAAGATGCAGAGTCTTCTGAACACTTTGAGTGGGAATTTGAGAATGTTTGGGATGCGATTTTCACCACCCAAATGCAAATTTTTGCTCCAGGACTGGTCTTCAGCGGTACCGCGGTTAACAATAGAGAGTGAAGTGGTTGAGTGTGTTGACCACTTCACTTACCTGGGAAGTAGGATCAACCCGGTGGGTTAGTTGCCGATGAGATTTCTGCACGGATACAAAAGGCTCGATTGGCTTTTGCCAATTTGCGCCACCTATGGCGCCGCCGTGATATTCGTTTGTCTATTAAGGGTCGCGTGTACTGCACAGCAGTCCGCTCTGTTCTACTGTATGGCTGTGAAACATGGCCATTGAAAGTGGAAGACATGAGAAGGTTACAGGTATTTGACCACCGTTGCCTTCGTAGTATAGGACGTATTCCGTGGTGTCACCATGTGAGTAATGCAGAAGTTAGGTGTAGAGTTTTAGGGAGAAGAGGTAAGTCAGTCGACGAGGTTGTGAACCTTCATCGACTGAGATGGTTGGGACACGTACTACGTATGCCTAGTCACCGATTGCCTCGTCACACAATGTTGGCTGAGGTGGGTTCAGGCTGGAAAAAGGCCCGAGGTGGCCAGACTAAAACATGGCACCAATGTATGAAGTCTCTGACTGTTGGTTTAAGCCATGTAGGACGATGCAGACTAGGTGGTTGGGGTCCACGGGACAAGAGGAACCAGTGGTTGGAGACCCTAGGTGATATGGCTCAGAACCGAAGTCAGTGGCGCAGATGTATACACACATTATCCTCATCTTAACAACGCTATACCGAATCTCACTATTTTGTCACTCCTCTTTCCTTTCTTCTCGTACTTTATATTTCTTTTGACTGCATTCACTTATCTTCATCCTTCACCTCACTACCTTTTTACTTGATGTGCTGATATGAGGTGTGGCAACTCGGACCGTTACGCAGTAATGCCTGGTCCTATGTTGATAATGATGATCAATATTGCTCACACCGTGATACCATCAAACGCGAGCAACGCGAAGAAGACACCTATGATCAAACCCTATAATCGCTTCGTGTCTTCTGCTTTTAATAGCCATGTCATAAAGCCCATAAAGCTATCATTACGCTGACATAATTACAGACAGTAAACTGTCCGAAAGATCATCATTACGTAACTCTGTACCACTGTGTCATACCAGATTTAGAAGATATAGCAACACAGTTACTTAAGGATCCAAATAAAGAAACAGGCTTGGCTTTAGGACTCAATGTTCAGTCAATCATTTATATGCTCAAACAATGCTCCACATATCAAGATTTTGGCAGCCATATAGCATCATTAACAATCATGTAAGAGATACAGCTCAAAAATTCTACGGAAAACTGTCTATGGTTGCTGAGTTACAGTTTGTAAACTACATGTGATTAACAGTAAAGTAGGTGAACCTACACACAAAACAGTAAACTAAAAGTCAATATTTTGCAGATGAATGCAACACAGTGCAAAAATATATGAAGTATTATAATGAATAGACACTCACCTTACAAGCTTCACATACATATGCGCCATGATGAAACCCAGCGGCTAACTCACCGCATACTTGACATCTTTGCCCTTCCATTCTGTTCTGATATTGATAGAAAGCTGATTCAGGACTACTAAACCCTGGCAACTGAACATCATTACAGTGTATGAAATTCTTTTGATCTGAATCATCAGTAATTAAATTGATTGCTTCGTCATTGCAAGCTCCATTGATAGTACCACTGCGGTCATAAAATGTGTTGTTCAGAATGTTTTTAAGCTTATTTGACGACGGATTCGGTTGAGATGTCCTATCATTATTGTGATTATTTGAATGTTCTTTGAAACCACTTTTTAATGGCTCATAAACATCATACGGATAACACAAACGATGCGATTTAGACAAGGAGCTAAGACCAATGTGAACTTTTGAATCTGATTGATCAGCTGAAGAAAGATTGGTACATGAAGTATGGCCATTAGCGGTGAAACGTTTGGTCAGTTGATCACATGATGCATTCGGATAGAAACAAGTAAAGTCCGATGTGCTAGTTAGTATATGTTCATTTGAGCCAAATGCACCAATACGCGTTGAAGATGCATCAATGAAGGCCAGAGAATCAGCTGTGAAATCTGATGAAGTATTAACACTGGTATTATCACTATCCAATGGACCCTGAGATAGAATACGCGATGGAGAAATATTTGAAACTCGATTATTACATCCTCGGATAGGTAGATTATCTGAACGAAAAGAATTAATCAAATTAACCTGAGGTAGTGTTAGTTGATCTAGTGATGTATCTGCTGCATACCTGGTAGACTGAGACGGTGAAATCGACTCATCTGTGTCATTATGAGATTTTAACTGTAGAGCGACAGATGCTTCAGTGAACTCTTGGTTTTCAGCAAACTGATCATCTATCATTTCATGCTCCTCGAATGATTCACATTTCCCTGAGAAAGATTCTGATATAGTCTGTTTATAATTACGTATGACTTCATAGGATGAATTAGATATAGGTGCAGATTGTCCAGATGAATTGCCAGTCGGTGAAAAACCGCTGTCTGCTTCACATTTAATCCTAAAACCTGGTAACAAATTTGATGAAATATTTTCATCGGGTGATCCTTGTAACTGTTGCTGCAGGTGGTGATGATGACGATGAATTGATTTTCCACTTTCTGAATCATTAGATAATTGTGTTTGAATGGTAGGATGAAAAGTACTGGTATCCTGAGCAGGTGTATATGATGCTGCATAACAATTTCCATTCGAAGTAATCGTTGATATAGGTCTTCCATTACCATTATTACTACTATTATTATTAACACTGTCGTTAATATTATTTAGTTCATTGACTGAGGAACCTGATTCGTCCGTGGAACAGCTTTGCGGATCATTAATTATATTTGAGTGTGTTAATTGTGCTTGTTGTTGAGTGACTATTCGTAAACTCATTGAAGACGGAACACATGCAGATGAATTAGGCAGACAGTCACCGTTATAACCGTTATTGCTGATATTATCAGACATTTATGATAATGATAACAATCGTAAGTATAATAATTAGTCATACAATCTGTGTATTGTGAACAAAAACTCAAGATATTCAAATAGATATAACTTGTCTGCAAAACTTCTAGGAAAATGTGTTCAAATAAGGAACAACAAAGGTATAGGTGTGGAAGTCTTTCCTTTGTGGAAAAAAGTTGATAAGTCAGTATTTTAAAAAGAAACTAAAAACTGATGGTCATATACATAAGAATAGATAGATAGATGATCAACCGTTTCTACTATGCAAAATTATTAAATGTACAAAAAAAGAAAAGGAGGAGGAGTACTGAAAACACCGGAAACAATTGAAAATGGCATGCACAAAAATTGACTTGTCACATCACATCCCAAAATACTATAATCCCAGTGATATTTTCTGCAAAGGGAAAAAGTAAATAACAATAATCAAGTTACGAAATGTTATATATTTTAATTTGGCACATCCGCAGAGTATCCTCCTAACTGAACTAGTGATACGCAGACAGTAGTAAGCGAAAAATACAACACCGCTTAACATGATTGTATAATGGCAGGTGTTGTCCCAATTCGCATCAAGGTAAGGTGAACCATTAAAATAAAATAAAAAAAGACTGAAAATAACAGAACTAACGGCTGTAAAAAGTAGAATATTGATGTGCGGTAGCTAGGGTATTGGCAGATATGTACTAATATACATGAGACTTATGAGACAAAGTAGATGCATTCTCACAACCATCATTAGTTTTAACTGTATCGCTCACTTTAATGAGAAATTCTAGACAACTCGAACAAGTATAAGTAGGACAAACATAATGTAACGCAGTAACTAAGCTCAAATCCGTCCACCAGACAATGAGCTAAACCTGCTGTATGAGGACTGATTGTACTACTTGGCTTCTCGAACCTCAGGAGGTGGAGTAAGGTTCAAGCTCGTGATTCACTGTATGAGTTAACGGTTTGGACCAGTGATCCACAGCTCCACATTTAAACAAGTAGCCCGAAACTACAAAGATCAGTCTCATTTTTAATGTGATAAAATCGAGGCCTGTTTGATTCTGCTCTTGCTAAAACAACAACTAAAAGTATTTTGTGTTAACGTGTGCATAAATGACAATCAGTCTTTCAAAATGTAAACAATCAAAACAATTAGAAAATTGGTTGCAGATAGCTTATTAAGTGTAGCACAAATGATATCATTAAGTCTACGCTTTTGAGTGATCAAACGAGATCTCTGAAGGAGTTAATTTCATTCCAGATCTAATGAGAATAATAAGTCTGTCTATCCAGTATGTCTGCACTAGGTTGTGAGCCAGATTTAATGTGCAGGGTTGGATAGATTGAAGTTGATGAGAAGTAATTCAAATCCATAATCCATTGCTTCAAAGTCGAGTGCTTAAGTCATTGAGTTAAAACTATACATTGCAGACAATCTATTGGTATCAATCCCCTTAAAATGGATTGTACAATAGCATGTCTTGACGTGAGGCTGAAACATCTGCCAGCATTTTAATTCATTAAATTAGGAAACCAATATAAATATTCAACCGCTTAAATGATTGAATATATCCAATTGATTGGAAAACAAATGCACTCAGCCTAGTTAACTATAAAGTAACAAGCTGGTGCACTGAATATGAGACGCTTTACGGTAGTTATATAATGACAAAGAAATATGAAGCGACCATTCGGTAAATATAGGAATGACTCAACTTTCTTAAGTAAATATACTCAAACGGATGTGGGGAAATAGGAAAAAGAAGTCCATGAATGTGTAGATGGTATTGGAATTATGTGTATCCAAACCACAAATCTATAAAAAATAAAGAACTGGATCTAGGTAATGAAGGTACCTCGACAAGAAATATAGGCTTGTAGATATAACTTAGGTTAGATATATACATATTTAGAACATATCTCTATCAAAAATCAACTAACGTTGGTTTTAAGAATGAAATGGAGATACACTTATGCACTTAGAGTTTAGCTTTCGCCTATCGACTATATAACTTGAGATCTGAAATTCATCCAACTATGAATCTATCATCGATGTAAAGTTGCTTGAATTATCCTATTTCCAAAAAGTGTAGAGAATTACATGAAAACAGATGTAGATAAATTTCGACTAGTCTCCAGGAACTAGTAGCTTCAAAGTGTCCGCCTGCATTTGTGATTCAGACAAAACACTGACTGGTAAGCTAATACTGAATTCAAGCACCACTGCACCTGATGAGGTTTGGACAACATAATGTTACAATCTAGGCAGTGAGCCTGAATGTGATATCTGGGTTGAATCTATTTTTCACTTAGTCCCATTATCCTTACGTTGATCACTAACGATAAGGAATAAAACTTAAACCAAACGACGGAATCAAAAGCTGTTACTATCTTTATCTGATTTCTATGAACTATACTATTTCTTCCAATAATTATATTTTTTTCACCTTTTCAACTTCTGTTGTTTAAACTTTTGGGGATTTGAATCACTGTGATAAGAAATTCTAGGCTTTTCCATCTTCCAAACCTTAGAACAACATATATCGGTGATTGGTAAGTACAGGTGTAATCCTAGCTCTAGTTGGTGAAAGCTTATCATGAAATCTAGTGTCACATTTTCGCTATACGACTGTAAATCTGACCTGTCCATCGCTTGTCCAACAGTTTTGTGAACAGCAAGATACAGAAGGCTTTCATAAATCTATATATTCGTATCGTAGAGTAGCTCGTTATTGGCTTGGGCACAATTGTCAAGGGGGTAAACCCCTCAGTCAATCAGTCAACATGGGATATGGCGTCACTATGTAAACATCCAAGTTGTCACAGCTCAAATCAGTATTTAGCGACGTAAGACAACAAGATAAAAGATGGAGAAACACGGAAAATGAAACCAAGAACATGAGAAAAGGGGAAAATCGAGTGTGACAATAAGGAAATGGGAAAATGACTAAAATGAAGAAGTATGTGCGCTACTGAGAGTGATTCTGAGCCCGCTTTATTGCGCTTTAGCCTGAAAGACCAGGTAGTATCGTGAGTTATCAAATAGTGTGCGGTCCATAGTTAATTAAACAAATTTGTACCAGGTTGTAAGGCTGCATTCCATTTTATATCGTCCGAAAGGTATTGCTATAAGGAGATGGAATGAACGATTGCACATCATAAATAATCTTTGGTTTGAAGTAAAATTGGCAATCACAAACGCCATAGGTTAGTAAACTCTTTTTTTGTCGTACGTAAGATTAATTCGGAAAAATTCTTCAAGTAATCATTTAGATACAACTAAACGGTGGTTTTTGATGGAATAACATTTGAAATTGTGTTTCTTGACTGCAGATTAAGAATTTCAGAATTTTAGCAACAGATAATTTGTGAAAGAAGCTAGTAATTATGGTTAGGTGTTGAAAAGCTACGACCAGGTTTGAATTCGGTTCTAAAGGAAAGGCATTGGTAATAAAGGTTTGTAGAATAGGGTCGAGGAGACGAAGTTGGATTGAGAGCAAAAGATTTACGATACTACCCTATTTTTAACAATTATAAAAAATACTAGATGATTTTATTCCCCTTTATTAAATCAAGTAGATTTTCAAGCTACTTGAGAATTACGAGATAATGTTTAGTAATTAGAACGTTACTGCTTTAGAGAGCCTTTCTTCATACGAGCTTGTCAAACTAAAGAAAGTGGATCTACGGCAAATCCCGAAAAATTCTAAATAGCACAAAACTTAGATATATTAATTCACGTTTACTTAACAATTTCTGACACGAAAAACATAAGTGCTTTAGGAGGAAACACTGTAGGAAGCAATTACAGTCGTACAGAACTAATAATCGCTTTAAACTTAGAAAACACAGGAACTAAGTCGACCATATTTCCACATACGACAAGCCTATGTATGCTGTTTTCTATGTCCATCCACAACACGTGGACTTGAAAGTAATTATTTACCCTCACAAATTACATGTTCCACTCTTAAAATTCATTGAATAAGAAAAAGCTGCTAGTAAATCCTAAATCTGTCAAACGGCTACTGAAAAGAGCGATTTGGTTAGTTAATTTAGAAAAGTGATAACATATGCAATATCAACCGGAATTAACGGAAAATGTAGTCAACCAGAATTCATTTCGGCAAACAAAAGTCAGATTTTTAGGTTACAAGTCACACAATCTGTGAAAGTTTAGGAGACTATCCGGTTGATCACGCGGAAACAGATGCCTATGAGGGAGCTTCAAAGAATACCTAGCTACATGATTGTACGCTGTCAAGTTAAATACATGCTTGCTAAACACTACAGAAACTGCAGGAAAAATGTGATCAGTTGGCTATCGAGTTTAATTTCCCCCTAGATTTAGAATACATTTCTCCCACTCAGGAAAGTTTGAAGACAATACATTTTAATCCTTAAGATATTATTGGCATTAGAAATATATTTACTACGAAACACATATTACTAACGTCATCAGCTATAACTTGAAATAATTTAGTGGGGATTACGCAGCGATTTATGCTTGTAAATGAAGCTGCGTGTACAAGAGATGAAGGTTCTCGAATGTAAGAAATGCCTGAGGAAATGGAAAATATGCGTTGGGTCAGTCCTGACTTAATTTTCACTACATTTAAGAGGCAAAACATGTATTTAACCTGATGGTCCAACATCAATATTGTCAAGTCAGATAGCCAATGACAAATCAAAATGCTGATGCTCCCAGTTTAACTGTAGCTAAGATATAATTTTCTAACCTTTTTCTGAAATCCAAACCATCTTATCCTTGAAATAAGTCCAATTTCATATCTGGATGACAGTCAATCCGGTTTCACCATTTGCTATTTAATGAAATTACAATGATTTTCATCCCTGTATTGGGACCAATTTAAGAGTAGAACTTCGGTACTATGGTAGAGAAAACTCGAGTATAAAATAGTTCTATTAGGTGCAATCAACAGAGAAACAGTAATTTCAGCATGATATTCAGCGCATGATTTACTGTTTATAATTCCATAAGGACA